TTTTTATAAGGTAGGGCTTAAAAGTAATATTAACTTAATATTAACTTAAATTTAAAATAAATTAATTATATATTAATTAATTTAACTTTATAAAAATACTTAAAATTTAAGAAATTCTTATTAATAAAGTAAATTATTTATAATTAAACATTAATTAATTATAAATTATATAATAAATTTATAATTTTAAGATTTTAAATAAAAAAGCTTATATAAAAAGCTTATATTAAAGGATTATAAGAATATTATTAACTTAGCTATTAGCTTATATTTAAATAATTATTTTTTATTAGCTTACTTTAATTAATATATTAAATTATAAGAGCTAAGATATATTAATTATAAATAATAAGCTAAGCCTTTAATATAATTAAAAAGCATTAAGGTATAATTAAATAGTTAAGTAAAGAGCAATATTTAATTTATAATTAAACTATAATATCCTTTATTTTTTATTATATAGCTACCTTTTAAGGCCCGTTATAAGAATTTATAAAAGAAAGATATATTATAATTTAAGCTTTACTTATTATAATTAATTAATAAGCTTTAGCCTTATAAAAATAGGCTTTAATGTAAGTATAAATGAAAAGTAAACCTTCTTCTTTATACTTTAAATATAAACCCTATTTAAACACCTTACGGCAAACAACCTAAGGCTAGCCCATAACATTTAAGTTATTATTATAAGCTTAATTATTAAGAAATATCTCATTATAAGTATAAAATTAATTAAAGTTATTGCTAAATATATATAACTAGGCTATAAAGCTTAATTATTAACCTTTATATTAATAATAAAAGAAGATTAAGTATACATTATTAAGTATTGCCTTAATAGCCGCTATTAATAAATAAAAAAGGTAGTTTAATTAAATTGCAAACTTCCTAAAAAGATAAAGTACTAAGGATTTACTTAATTTTAACTTAAGCTTAGTATTTAATAAAAAGGGTTGCTTAATAAATACAAAGTTTAAGTAAATTATTTATAAAGTAAGCTATTAAAATATTAAATCTTAAGAAACCTTATTTAATTAAAAATACCAAGCCTTAAATTAATAATTATTTAAAAAAAAGGATAAATTTAAAGAAAAGCAAAAGGATTGCTAAAAATATAATCCCTAGAATTCTTGCATTATTTATTAGAAAATTAAGTAAAGAAATATAAATAGCTAATTTATAATTAAAGTTATAAGCAAGTTATTTATAAAAAAATAATAATGCAAATGCAAGGAATTTAAAATAAATTCCTTTTAATATTTTTATATAAAATAAGCGCTAATAAAGGTTTACTTAAAGCATTAAATATTTAATGCCTTATAAATTAAGATTTAAAACTTTATTATATATTTTACTCTTAATAATAATAAGCAATAAGGAAATTAATTAATTAATATAATTATAAGTAATTAATAATATAAAACTTTTAGTTTATTAAGTTTTATAATATTATATTAAGTAATTAAAAACCTTTATAAATTTAGCTAACTTAATAATGAAAATTACTTAAGAAATTTAAAACTTAAGGGATTATATATTTATTATTAATTTAAATTGCAAAACCTACTTAATAAATTAAGGTTTTCTTTATTATTTTATAAGAAATAGCAATAAGAAAAGGTTATATGCTTTTTTAAGGGATTAAATTAAAAATTATATTGCTTAAGTTTAAAAAAAGGGAATTTTAAATAATTTTTAATAAGCTATTAAAAGGAACCTTAACTTGCTAAGCCTTTAATTCTTATATTTAATTATAGCTAAAGATAATATTTTAAATATTTCTTAAAAATTTAATTAAAAAGCTAATAAAGAAGGTTATTATTTAAATATTAAATCTTTTCTTTAAGATTATTTAAATTTAATTATTATTAAGCCTTATAAAAAGAAAACTTTATTAACTTAAAATAAGGAAGCTATAAAAAGAAAAAGAAAAATAAGTATTTCCTTATATTATTTTAATTAAAAAAATAATTTAAAAAAGGCTTTATATAAATTAAGATAAAAGGGAAGCTAAGTTAAAGAAATAAAGCAAGTAATAAAGATTATTATATAAAGAATATATTGCTTAGGGAAGAACCTTATAATAATGGCTTAGCAATATATAAAAGAAATAAATTAGCTTTAATAAAATAACTTAAATATAAAGAATATAATTAATTTAATTAATAATAACCTTAAGGAAAAGTTTAATTTAAATAATAATAATAATAATTAAGATAATTAAAATATTAATTAAAAAAATATATTAATTAATTATATAATTAATAAAGATAAAACTTTAAAATTAAGTAATAAGAATAATAAAGATAACTTAGCCTTTATTTAAGTTTATATTTAATATTTTACCCTTATTTTAATTATTATTAAGCATAATAAAATAAATAAGGATAAGCAAGCTTATAGCTTTTTAAAAATGCTGCTTTAATTAAGAAATTAATAATAAATTAAAAATGCTATATTAAATTTACTAACTTAATATAGTATTTAATATAATTTTAAAGTTATAAAAGGGTTAATAAAGAGTTATAATAATAAAGAGAAATTTAAAAAAAGATTTTATAGCCTTTTATAATAATATAATTCTTTATAATTATTTTTTTAAGAAAAAATTAAGATAAAAATAGTTATTAGCATTTATTTATTATTATTAAAGATTTAATTTAAAATAGGTACTTATAAAGGCTAATATAATAATATAAGTTTTTATTTTATTTTAGCATAATAAATATAATAACTTGCAATTTAAATTAATATTAATTCTTTTCTTAATTTATTAATAAAAGTAAATTAAGAATAGGAAATATATATATTTATAATGATATTATTATAATTTAGGCTTAGGGTTTTGCTATTAAAAAAAGGGGGTTTATATAATATAAATAGGGGCGTTTAGCCCTTAAGGGCCTTAAATAAGTAATTTTTAGCTTTAAAGGTAAACTTAAATCTATTTAAGCAATACATACCTTAAATCCCTTAAATTGCTCATACTGTTTACAGTGCGATATATCTTCTCATACGGGTCAAAGAGTTTCAAAAGCCTGGGCCGGCAAGGAATCCAACTCACAGTTCTTTCCACTTCCATCAGTGGCCAGCATTCACAAGACAACCTAAGCATTTGGGTTGAGAGTAATATACACAGCTGCATGAGATGTGTTGTCGACTCAGACACAAGGCAAGATATGTAATTACCCTACTGACCCTAATTAACCAATTTCTCAGGCTTAATCCTAATTATTAGCACTTACAATGTGGACTTGGAAGGTCTCCGAGACGGGAACTTCAAATGAAAGGGACCGCAAACAAGACAGATCTCTACGCCAATTTGTGCTCTCGAGAGAGAGTATGATCACCTGGCTGCCGAAAACACCTCAATGTACATTACTTGTGGCAAAGGCTTACGCTTTCAGGTGCTGCAGGACAACACAATATTGTATACACCAAATGAGACGCTCGGCAGCCCTGTAATGCTAGCACAAACACGCTGAAAAGCAGATGCCGTGAGAACTGCCTCCCCTGTTCCCTGCCTGAGCCAGCCGATTGGGACGCCTCTACTTGGCTGCAGATCGGTCCCGGCAGTGTTCCCGTCCACCAACGCCACAAGTCGCTAAACACCTGGGCACGCATGAATAAGCCTCAAGCTACCAGTGTCCGAAGAGCCGCAATGCAAGATTGATGATCCCGAAGACGTAGATGCTACGTTGGAATTCGCCCCCTGGCTGTAGACTCAGAAACGGACTGCTGCTGGACCCAGAGTCTAGCAAGAGGCGGGTTTCGCCCACTGACTGCTTAAACCTTGCGAGACCAAGTCACAGAAGAAAGGTCTATCGAGAGGATCGTGGCTTCGAAATGTCGTGCTAGCCGTTGTAAGAAGGTGTGCCCCTGCCGAAGCACCAAAGTGTGCACTGCATTGCTTTCGATCCTGCAGATGGACGGGTATACTGGCCTGCAGCCATATCAGGGCCGCAACCTTGACAACACGGCTGATTCTTGCGTAGCTTCCATGCCATCACGATCCCTATACACCAACACTGCGGATGTGGAGGAGTGGAAGAGTGGAGACTAGAAGAAGGCGACGAGTGAACGGCCTGGGGAGTGTGGGATGGTGGGAGTGGAGGGGTCGAGGCTGTTTTGGGGGAGGTACGGCTCCTGCCGGGGTGGGCCTTGCCGTAATGATACAGGCGCGCCAATCAGACAGCCACCCGCCAGACTCTCTCCAAGAATGGTTTCTCTCCGACGACGCTTCCCCAACGTACCTCAGTCTTCGCTGCCAGGTCCAGTTCTCTGCATGCCTTTGGTACGCGTCGCAAGGCTCGAGGATGTGGCGTCCGGAATGCTCTATGAGCGACTCCAGCTGTACCTGGGGAACAACTTTTAAAGGGAAGCATCTTTTCCACGTGATTCAATGTTCTGATCGCGAACCGTGGGCCGAGGCCTGGTCAAGTCTCGCTCCCGCCTTTTTGAGTCCCACTGCGAAATGACGTTGACTGTGGACCTCAATGCTGGGCAACATCGGTCCTTTTCCCAGCGTCGAGAGGGCCTCCCCCGTTTCTCCAGAATCTCTACCCCAACCGTGACCAAGATCGTCACTCCCACTTCCCCGAGGGGAAATGTCTGTTTCGGCTAGCCCATGACACAGCATGGTCTGACGGACCCGTCGCGCAGTCGCCAGCAATGAGAGCCTGCCTATGGCAGCCGTCCAAAGATTGGGTCGGCTCGACGTAGGTGTGGTTGGGTACTTGGGAGGAGCATCCCTGACCATCCACATTGACAGTCATGGCCGCCCCTGGAGCCGCAGGACGAGCATCGAACCGAGCGTAGCATTGCTCTTACGACCTTGCTGGGCAGCATGGCGTTGCAGCCGACTCGTAGCCGACAATAAATACTTCGAACATCCCCCCCGTCTGGAGCACCATGCGGATCCCGAGTTGTCCTCCAACCGATCTGCCTCTGAACAGACCAGACCTGCCTTGTTGGCCTGACTCCATCGGACAACGGCAGCCATGTATCGAATCTGGAATATCTACGTCCTCGCCGGCTTGTAAGGACCTCCCACATCCCCACCGAGGATTGCAACCTCTTGTATGTTCGTATTATTTGCTGACCTCTTGTCTAGCGGCACCATCGGTGGGGCTTTATTTGGCTTCGACGTAAGCAGCATGTCTGCTTGGATCGGCAGCGACCAATACCTCGAGTACTTCGGACATCCGGACTCGAACACCCAGGGAGGTATCACCGCGTCGATGAGTGCCGGCAGCTTCATCGGCTCGCTCGGCGCTGGCTGGCTGTGTGATCACATGGGCCGTCGTGGAATCCTCCAGGTTGCCAGTATTATTTGGGTCATTGGGGCAGCCCTCCAGTGCAGCGCCCAGAACATTGCTCATCTCATCGTCGGGAGAATCGTCAGTGGCTTAGCCAGTAAGCTCTTCCCGGCCCATGGTACCCTTGCCCGTTCCTGATTCACTGACACCTGCCAGTCGGCATCACCTCATCCCAAGTTTGTGTCTACCTTGCCGAGCTCGCCCCTGCCAATATCCGCGGCCGCATTGTTGGTGTCCAACAGTGGGCCATTGACTGGGGCATTCTGATCATGTATCTGATTTCGTACGGATGCGCCGTCTCTATCGACACCACTGCGTCCTTCCGCATCGCATGGGGTGTGCAAGGCATACCCGGCATCGTTCTCGGAGTCTCTCTGTTCTTCTTTCCAGAATCCCCTCGCTGGCTCGCCAGTAAAGACCGCTGGGATGAATGCATCGATGTTCTCGCCGGCCTACACGGCAGTGGTGATAGGGAGTCTCCTGTCGTGCTAGCCGAGCTTGATGAGGTCAGGGAGGCCGCAAACCTCGCTGCCGAGTCCAAGGATCTTGGTTACTTGGGACTCGTCGCCCCCAACATGTGGTTCCGTACCCTGACTGGAGTTAGTGCCCAAGTCTGGCAACAACTCCTAGGCGGAAACGTGATGCTTTACTACATCGTCTATATCTTCCAGATGGCTGGACAGGGCGGGAATGCGGGACTCACAAGTGCTATTATTCAATACGTTATCTTCTTGGTGACGACCGGTGCCGTTCTCCCAGTCATAGACCGCTTTGGCCGGCGAACGCTTCTGAGTAAGTACCTTCCAGTCTTGCTACCTCAGAGCTGGACGTTCCATGAGACATCTCCATCATGTGGCTCACTACACATTCTTCTTATATCACTTGCTGACTCTGCGTACACAGTTGGTGGCGCCATAATCGCCTGCGTGTTGCATTTCATCGTCGGTGCCTTGATGGCTTCGTACGGACACAAGGTGGATTCGATTGATGGTAATGAGATTTTGACGTGGGAAATCGAAAGCACTTCCGCGGCCAAGGGAGTCATCGCCTGTTGCTACATCTTTGTCGGCGTTTACGGCATCACCTGGGTAAGCTTCGCCTTGCGTCAATTGGACATATCTGCTATGTCTCTCTGCTAACCACAACGCTAGGCGCCCGTCGCATGGATTTACGCATCAGAAGTCTTCCCTTTGAGATACCGAGCCAAGGGTGTAGGCGTGTCTGCTGCGGGCAACTGGATCTTCAACCTAGCTCTAGCCTTCTTCGTCCCACCGGCCTTCACCAACATCCGTGAGTAATATTCTACCCCAAGTCCAAGGATTACTGCCATTGGCCAGGACTTCGGGTTTTATTATCAGCTGCTAACAGCTCCTAGAATGGCAAACGTACATGATCTTCGGAACCTTCTGTGCCGTCATGACCATTCACGTCTTCTTCTTCTACCCTGAGACTGCTGGAAAGTCACTCGAAGAGATCGATGACGTCTTCGAGAGCAAGACACCTGCTTGGCGGTCGGGCCAGCTTGGTACCTTCCAGGACCGTCTGCATGAGGTTGAGCGCAAGCAGGAAGGTGCAGAGACGACCCATGAGGAGGCGGCTTCTGCTCATACGGCGGCGAAGGCGGAAGCGAATATTGCTCATGATGAGAAGGTCTGAAATATGAACCCTTCTCTTCATCATCTGTGATTTGGTTCGAGTGTCGTTACCTGTGGAAGCTTGGGTGGACCCAGTGCCAGAGTTGGCTTCATGGTCGATTGTCGGAACAGGCAGACTAGTCATCTAAAATGCTCATGTTAAATATCGCCCAAAACAATCGTGTGCTGGGACCAACATTGAATGAACTGTAGCAAGTCTCGCTTGAGTAGGAGTGGGTGGCTCAAGCTTTGGCGGCATGTTGAGAAACAAACGGTACCTAGAATTAGACGGTCATAAGCTGAACAGAGTTTCATTGCCTACAAGCCCAAGAGCCAGAGACTATGATTTATTTGTGAACTACTATTGAGTGTCTAAAATATGTAGAGGTTTAATCACTTAGCAACAGAAGGCTATTCCAAAGCCCAGTTCCAGACTGCTTCGCCAGCCGACATCTGAAGCAGCACTGGAAGATCGCAAGGCGGCACAGCCACATATGCACGCTGCGGGGGTCTTTTAACACTCCGTAAGCAAACCGCGAGGATCCTCTGCCGTTTCATCGGATTCCAAGAGATGTATGCTTTGCCATCTATAACTTCGACATTATAAAAGCCAGCAGCGTCTCAGCAATATTCACCGGATTACATCAATTTTGGAAGCCACCCCCCTTTCACTCGCAGGGCACTATCACCTTTCTTCGAAGCCACTCAGCATGCCCCCCACCTTGAAAAGAGCGCTGGGCGTACCTCACCACAATGATCGCCCTACTTCTCCATACCATCCAGCGGACCAAGGCCGCGATGATGACCTTATCTGTGCCGAATGTAAAGTGGTGGCGTGGTCGAGCGTAACCTCTTTACAAGCAAATGGACGCAGAATAGTGCGGTCACTGAATGCAACATTTGCTGAACCCGTCACATCTCGATGCCGCATTTGCCGCATGCTCGCGCACATTAAGCCTGATTCTCTTGATGCTCAGCCGTGTGTGGTGAAAGCGCTTCCTTCCAACCTTGTGCTGCCTGGGGTCGAGCCACGTTTCGTCTTCCTGAGCCTCCAACCCGAGAACGAATCCGATCCCTTCTAACTCTCGCATCCTAGCATCGCTATACTGAAATCAAATGATCAGCAACTCGACTTTGGGCCAAGATTGGTTCAGCCGGAAAGCATCGATTATGATATGATCAAAAAAGCCATCCAGGATTGCGATTGCAACCACTACAAAAGTTGCCCGGGTTCTGCTAGCACTGCCACTGTCGTGGAGGGGTTTCGAGTGATTGAAATTCGTACACGTACTGTTATTGAAGCCCACGCCACTGCAGATATGCCGCTCTATCTTATGTCTGGGGCACACAAACCGGTGAAGAAGCCTTGGAAGGAGGCCTTGGATCCCCACCGATGATAATAGAAGACGTTCTTGCTTGTTGTGCCTCACTAAGACTGGAATTCTTGTCGCTTGATAGATTTGTAAGCTTTTCTCTGTTCAGCACAATTGGGTGATCATCGAGTGCCAATTAACAGCTATAATATATAGTGCATCCCACAAAACCCGCAAACTCCTGAAGACAAGGAAGTAAAGCATCACATGATCAACCAGATGGACCAAATCTATTCCAGTGCCTATCTGACTATCGTCGCTGCTGCCGGACAGGATGTCCACGGGGGCCTACCCGGTGTGTCTCGGTTCCACCGTCGACAACTGCAGGAAGCACATATTGGCGACACCCATTTCGTTCAGCTGCCGCGCCCCGGGCTCGCAACCATTATATCAAGTCACTGGGCTTCGAGAGGATGGACCTTCCAGGAAAGCTATCTTTCCGGCAGGCGCCTCATCTTTACGGAAGACCAGATCTTGTTCCTTTGCAACAAATCGTTCGTGGCCGAGTCGGTGAGACCACAAATTTGCACAGCCGGTCCACTTCCTCTTCAATTCGGACATCTGATCAGGCGCCCGAAAATGCTAGGGGACACCTATGGTCAGCTGCTCGCGCAACTGCAAGAGTACAGCGGAAGGAATATCTCGTACGATAGGGACTCGTTGAATGCATTCCTCGGGGTCCTTCATCAGTGGGAAACTCGTCTCGCATGGACCAATGAGCCCATGTCACATCTGTGGGGGTTGCCAATCAAGGGAATACCTACTCACGGCCCAGAAAGTGTGGAATTCTACGTCTTATGGAGCCACACTCGCCATGACGCTGTCCGTCGGCCTGACTTCCCAAGCTGGTCTTGGACAGGCTGGGCGGGGATAAAAGATTTCTTCAAGTACCCAATCCATCTGCATGGGACCGAGCAAGAGCAAAATCAGTTCGGAGTTTGCATATCAGTACAGAGCGATGATAAAGAGGCGCAAAAACTGGCCGTCTTCCACAAGGATTCAGTGGTCAGAACACAGAAGTCACAAGTCTATCAACCTGGTTCAACGCGTTTGTTGGTCACATGCGCAGTTTTCCCTATCAAGTTCAAAAACTTCCAGCTCTCTCAGGATCAAGGGGATGCGGAAACCGAACTTCAGCTGGACGACACTCGAACGATGATAACCAGACCAAAGCATGACAACTTGTTTCTTTTTCGCGTCTTTGAGGACATACAAGTGGGCATCCCTGGAAAATTGGATCAGCAAGTTCAGCCAAATGAACGTCTTTCAGGTCTCCTTCTTAGTGACACCTTGATTTCCGGGCATTTTCTCGTGACAAAGCAAATTGGGGAGGGTTTGTACGAGCGAGTGGGTCTGTGCTGTTGGTACCATCTTGATATTGAGAAGTTGTTCTTAAATGAGGAAGGTTGCATGCTAGATCAGGTAACTCTTCCTGGTAAGAAATTGTCCCCTGTCGAATTTGAACGAAGGACGATGTATCTGGTTTAAGACGTAGATGCTAGGTAGTTGTTGGATTTAGTAACGGATGCTGAAGTGACCTAATTATAAGAGAGTTCCGAGTATGACTTAGCCGAATTATTACCAAATGTACTACGTTTACACACTATATGCTTTGGATGGATGTCTGGGCGGCTGCAACTGCATCTCCGTTACAGGCAGTCGGCAGGTCCAAATACAAACTCTGCGTGGAGTTCAGACGTTGCGTTCGCGCGATTTAGATGCGACACGCTGGTTTATGAACAATAAACGCAGCGTGCTGTCGTGCGAGGTTCCGATTCAGTGTTAAACCACGTCTGCCTTGATCTCCATTTCCAACGGTCTTTCATCACCAAGCCCAATCGTGGATGGTTGTTCAACTTTTATGGTGGGCAGTACGATGGCGAGGCGGGTATCGAACCTCACATTATTCCAGTCCTATTTCCAGGGAAGGACTTCCGGTGCTTGAGCCTGTATGCAAATGCGACATCCATTCACGGGGTTTGCCATCGCAAACGGCTGGACTGGAGGCTCTCGTGGTGATTTATACCTTGCTGAGCCTGTATACCCTGATGAAATTCACACAGTCAGTCCACTATGTGGTCCGACGTGTGACGTAAAAAAGGGCAATCGGCTCCTCCTGGTCTGATCTGACATTCCGGCCGCATTCCAGTTTCGTAGGGTTGAGAGTACTGCTAATGCTTGCAGTCAGCTTACATCCAGCAGTGGTACGACTTGGTCGAAAAGCAAAATTCGGGTTTCAGCTCTTACTCATGTTCAAGTCTTAATCATGAGAAAAATCGACACGTTTACAGTCTTGGTGCTCTTTGATCTTATTATCACTTTTGATTTCATCGTTAGGACTAGAGTGCTTACAACCCAATATTGATACTTTTCCCACCCGCGGTTGTCAACACTGCGACTATGTCGGACGAAGATGCAATCTCGGCCGTTGCCCTCGTGGTAGCGCTGGTTGCCCTGGTCACATCGGTAGCCCAGCTTCTGCAAGCCATTTTCGGCACTGCAGAGGGCTTCCGAAGGACCAACCGTCAGATCATGAGCCCATTTTCCCAGACCAGAGATCATGTCTTCCACATCACGGAACTTCGATACGAGACGAAATTCAGAACACCACATTTCAAATTCAAAAAAGCTACTAGCACTCAGTCCGAGAACAACTCCAGCACCAGCAAGGAGGCACGGACTTCTCAAGACGGAACTTCGCCCAGGCGTACCCGCTTTGGGAACAACAGTCGCAAGGAGGCCAAGAAGAAGCAATTTCTGTATATCGAAGCTTATCCAAATGAAGAAAAAGCCCTCCAGGATTTCATCACGTCTCCAGCTGTCGGAAGGGTTAGCAAGCTGCAGCGCGTCCTCCATTGGGTCGACAGCCGTTTCAACAAACCTCGCGATCACCATTTGATCGAGGAACATAGCAAAGCCCATGCGGCTGGCTGGCTGTTACTGTTGGACCAGCTTTTTGAACGAGAAAGGCGCGTGCATCACACGACTAAGGGAAGCAAATACAGGCACAAAAGACTGATTTCTACACCAAACGTAGCTCAAGCAGTCCCCATCAAATCCGGGCTCGACCCAGAGCAGTGGTATCGGCCGGCGATAGAGGGGGATGAATCAAATGTACCCCGGACCCACCGAAAGGGAAAAGACAAATTTGCGGATGAGAGAGTCTCAGAACCCACCGACGCGTCAAGGTAAATTTCGCAGCGACTGGAGGGACCAGATGGGATGGGTGGGTGCGGTGCTGAACTTTTTCGAGACCCAACATGACCGTTTTCTTTCTGTCAGCAGCATGAACGGAACATTCGGCCTCAACGCCAAAGGCACCACGTGCGAAGAGATCCTGAGGCAGTTTCGTACTGCCCTCGCCGAGGCCGACCAGTGTCTGCAAGACTACTTTGAAGGCGTCGAGACTGGAGCCTACGAGGCACTGGTGGCGGCTCATGTTAAAATGGCCCTGATTCATAATGCCGAGGTCAAACAAGAAGATCGAAAGTTAGAGCGCGACCGGTGCACATTCAGAGATGGAACCGGCGTCCCAGGAGTATGGCCCAGAAAGACGGAGACGGTCCATCGCTACGTCGACAGCGCAACGACTGCAGAGGGCGAAAAGCCGGACGTGAGCATCGTTGGGCTTTTCAGAAAGCAGTATAACACGAAGTTCGGAGTGGTTTCGAACCTGTCCCCTGAAGACATACAACAAGCTTGGTTCACAATGATGTTGAGAGCTTTCCTCTGGGGTTTCATACATCTTCCCACCCACTTGCCTTGGCTGCCATATAAATCTAGATACTACGGAGACAGTACCTTGGTGATGATGGCCTAGTTAGAAGAAATCCAGGGCCCAGAAACTGCATATGGGACTTGTTGATTTTGGATGACAGATCGCATCTCATATGCTACAAAGTCACGCCAGTACATGGGAATAAGGGCGGTCTTTCGAAACAAGACTGTGTGGTACGGGAGTGGAGAATCTTGGAAGCTCAAGGCGCGCCTCGTGATAACTTAACTGGCGACTGTGGCCCTTTCTCCCGAGCAATAGGTTCAGGCCTCGGAAGTCGACTGCGGAACACCATTGAGGTTTGCCGCTCGTTACCAAAACCTCGAATATTTCGCTCGACCCGGAATCTTGGGCACTGATTGGTGAATAATTCTCGTCTAGTGATCTAGTTACTTTTTCAATACTTGTGTCCAAGCGACACTTAACTCGCAGCGCCATGGTACAAAATGCCTAATTCCGAGGCCTGCTTGCAGGTGCCGAAAGCCTTAGGGGATTTATTCTGCTGATGGGAATTTGGGGGTGCAGGGATTCCCGAAGGGGAAGGCGGTCTGCCACGAGACAATGGCGCCAAGGTGCCTCACCCGGCAGCCGACACGGTCGGGCCTGGATTTTGCAACCTCAATCTCACCCAGCAGTTGAATCTCTCACATCTCAACCCTAAGGCACCATGGTCAACAGGTAGCATACGCCTTGCCTCAACCGCTCACACAATACGTGCGCCAGCACGGCTCATACGACAGATGATGCATCTCGCCATACGCGCCACGTCAAGGCTACCCCGCCCTGGGGTCGGCCAGGCTTTCACGGCAACACCAACATCCGCTGTGCGCCATTCATCCAACGTCTCGGCGGACGAATTTGTCAAACAGTCCGTTGGCACTCAACAGAAACCTCACAGAAGGGACGATGGAACCAAGAACCCTTCCTCGATTGAGATTAGGAAGGTGACAAGGACGTTTAGGAAGCTGAAAACAAGGGAGCCTGAAGTTGCTGACTGGACACCGTCGATGGAGAAGCGAGCACCACCTGTGTCGCTAGGTCTCCCCATCGAGGTCAGGAGAGTCGAAGCAGCTCCCCGTACCATCCACAAGCACATTGTCCGCAACACTGAATGGAAAACACCAGCCAAGGCGTGGTCAGAGAAGCCATCAACCGTCTTTTCCTCCAGGTGTGCCCTGAATCTTCGGGGGCTTCCGCGTGCAACGACCACCAGAGATATCATCCTGTCCATTGGCGACGCTGTCCGCGAACACGAGGTCGATTTCAGGTCAACTAGTGTAGCAGACATCGTGATCAGACCCAGATCGGACAGCTCAGAGGGGGTTGACGCCGTCGTCAATTTCATGCACCCCAATGGCGCGCGGATCTTCCACAGACTGGCCGTCCAAGAGAAGTTCAAAGTACAGGGTTTGGTGCCAGAAGCTTCCTTGACCGACTTCGAGGACGCATCCGAGATACCGCAGCCGTCCGATGACGCGGAAACAGCACAGCTCTCGAGGGAAGACCGCCGGGAATATTTCGAATCGAAGGAGCTTCGCAAGATTACACGAAAGACAAATCTGATCTACAATTAGAGCTCCGGATATCACATACCGGAGATCGCCAAACCCCACCAAATCTTGGGAGTGGCGCAATCAACATCACGCGAGAGGGGAACGGGGCACGGTCGGATCGCGGAACTCGGTGTGGACCGGCGCAATCAAGCTCGATGAGGCTGCAGGTGACTAGCCACAGGGATTGACGCGGTGGATTCCTGGGGCCTTGCCGAGTCAGTCCGACGAACGGTGACGAACAGGAGCATGGCACTGACTGGTGTGGCTTGGGAACATCTGGCTCATACGTGTAAGTTTTCTGAACATTACAATCCTGTGGATTTGTCTTTGCGCAAAAGGTCACCTAGGGATTGGACAAATGAGCTCACGAGGTCCAAAATAGGACAAGACATGGCGTAACCCTCAACGATCTGCGATTCCAAGTGGGCCTCTGTCGGTGAGGCATCTCAGTTCACTGAGCCTAAACATTCGAAGTCCTATCAATGATAAGCCACGAAGACGAAACAAAGGGATTACATCACGGTCATCTTGTCAGATAAATAAGGGGCCGCCAATTTTGAAAATTCTCATGAATTTCAGCTTCATCTACAGCCGGAAATTAAGTTCAGGCTGTCCAACAATGAACAGAATCTCAAAATGAATGAAATGCCTTGTTGGCTTGGTAGCAGGCCATTCACTATCTGTAGGTCGTCAGACAAAGCACAACCCTCCGACCTTTTTTAGTCTGTGTTTTATGGAGAACCAATGAGAAGGGCTTGAGCCAGTCACACAGAATTGGGCGTCGAACAAAGCACACCATATGGTCCCAAAGGGGGCTGAGACACTCTGAGAGCTTGCCATGAGCCAACTCCCGTTACTCACTCGTTTTACAGAGTGTCAAAGATGGCTGACGACCAGGCCTCGTGGATGGGCGATCAATCGGCTGCATTCGCAAAGAATACAAAATGAAAAGGAAGCTGTGAAGTCTTTGGCTTCTTCAAACAACCACAGCTCTGGACACATCGGATCATCATGTTCTCAGAAACAGAGTCATGTCCGTGCATCTTTTCCTCAAACTGGACCAGCCACGAGGACAGCTGTGCCGCCGCCTATCACAATTGCATCATGTGCAACTATTGCATGGCAAACATCTACTACTGGGGCATGGTTGACGAGATCTTGCAATCGACCGAGTCGCCGGTTGCGCATCCATACTCGAATCCGTACGAACTGAATCAGCTGGATGCTCAAGACAAGCAGTCGAATACAACGGATAAGAGTCCGCGGTCGAAGATTCCAGCCACAGCCGAAGCTCAGTCCTCGCAGGTACGGAACTGAGTTCGAGAATACAATGTGAAGGGCATGTGTATCGAAATTGAATCAGGTACGGTCAGGTCAACATCATGTCTGACGGGATTATGCCCAACACAGCTGGACAGATTGCCTTATTGCCCTCGGTGTGCTGGCGCAGGTACTGCACTGCCAACCTGTGGCACCGCTCCACGCTGCAGATCAGATAGGGGCGTCCTGGTCTAATCTGGCGACGATCATGCTAACCCTGCGTGCGCATCACGATGAGCTTGTGCACGAGCTTGATTAAGTATGACTCGATATGCGGGCCAGAAACAATAGCACAGGCACGTGGGGGCTAGAAGGGAGAACCTCCCGTGAATTTCCCAAGACGGGATCGGGCACCGGGTGTCGAAATTTAAACACGCATGGAAAGTGCCTGGATCGAATGTAATTGACACAGGGGTGGATCCAGCGCCCGCGGTAATACGAAACGAAGTGGAGCTGAAACATTGGAAACATTGGGAAATCCGCCGCCTTGGCATCATCCGGATATTTCGCCTGCGGCAGTTCTAGGGGGATCGGGGGCTGACTCCTGCTTTTCTTGCCCAGGACCGATGATCATCGAATCCGCTCCGGCGGTTCGGATGGTGGCGCCATGATTTATCTAGGGCCTTGGCCTTCCTTAAAGATGCAGCCTCCTCGTCCTTGTCTCTCCAGCAACTCCTTCATCGTCAGCCCAGCCTGAGCATTTTTCCCTCTTTCTTGTCTTGTGGCATTCCTCATTCGCTTTTTCGTCTTTCTGCATTGAACCCTGGAATTACACGATACCGGTATTGTGTATTTGGTCCTGCTCAACTCAACCACCTTGTCGAAGACTCAACACGTTCATTTGCTTGCCAGACCAAGACAAAATGCGTGTCGCACAATACTACGCCACGGCTCTGCTTGCCGCAGTGTCGACCGTCACGGCCCAGGCCGTCAAGGGAACCGCGTATGGTTTCGCCAGCGGTGTCACAGGAGGTGCTGACGGCGAGGTCTCAACGCCCAAGTCGGCCTCCGAGCTCGCCGATCTCCTGTCGGACGACACCGCGCGAGTGATCGACCTTACCCAGACCTTTGACTTCACTGGCACAACCAAGACTGCCTCTGGCTGCTCGCCATGGGGTACGGAGGCTACCTGCCAGCAGGCTCTTGATGCTGCCTCCGACTGGTGCGGTCGTGAGCAGCCGGATGCCCCTTCGGTTTCCAACCTGAAGTACGACACTGCTGCTCTCGACGCTCTCAAGGTCGGCAGCAACAAGAGTATCATTTCCTCCAATGGAAAGGGCGTTCTGAAGGGCAAGGGTCTCAGCCTTACCTCCAAGGCCAAGAACATCATCATCCAGGGTATAACCATCACCGACCTGAACCCCGGTCTGGTCTGGGGTGGCGACGCTCTCGAGCTCGACGGCAACGACGGTGTCTGGATTGACCACTGCAAGTTCTCTCTGGTCGGCCGCATGATGGTCGTCGCCCACTACAACCCATCTCGCCTGACCATCTCCAACACCGAGTTCGACGGTGAGACCACCACATCCGCCACATGCAACGGCAACCACTACTGGACCATGATGTTCTACGGAGACGGTGACCAGGTCACCCTCGACGCAACTACATCCACGACTGCTCTGGCCGTGCCCCCAAGCTCGGCGAGGACGGCAAGACCTGCTACGTCCAGGCTGTCAACAACGTCTTCTCCAACATGGAGGGTCACGCATTCGAGGCCTACGGCTCTGCCGCCGCTCTCATTGAAGGAAACGCCTTCGAGTCCGTCTCGCAGCCCTTCGACAAGAACGCCCAGGTCGACACCGCCTACACCGTCGCCGATGCCGATGCCGCCAGCGCCTGCTCCAGCTCCCTGGGCCGCGCCTGTCTGCAGAACACCCTGACCAGCTCCGGCGACTGGCCCGCGCTCGGCTCCTCCTCGGCCCTGTCCGCCCTCGCCAAGTACAAGGCCAACCTCGTCACCCCCATCGCCGTTAAGGAGGCCAAGGCCTACGTCCTCGCCAACGCCGGCCCCGAGAATCTGGCGTCCTACAGCGGCTCCGACTCCGGCAGCTCCACCAGCGGCAGCGCCACCGGCGCTGCTACCACTGGCGCCTCCCAGCCCACCGCTTCTGCCAGCGGCGTGTCCCGGGCGGCTGCGTACCGCTACTACAAGATGCTGTAAAGTGGTTCCTTTGCAGAAAGATTCTCTCATAAAGGGAACAAGACAATTTTGGCTGTAGATATTACTGGCCCCCTCTATGTACATACATTCTCTCCGGTGTGCCTTGCTTTGAGGTCCCGGCTTCAGTCCTAGAGACGTAAAAATTTAAGATCCATCGAGACAACTGAATCTTGTTCCTACCTAGCCTGAGTGAACGTGACTTGATGTGGATAGTAGAAAGGGGTTCAGCCTCGCTTGCCACATGATCATACTATGAATTGCATAAAGCTAAGGAGGGTAAAAATGGGACTTTTCCTCCTGAGCATTTATTCCGTAATTAAGTCTGGCATATATGAAAATAGTGTTTGAACTTCCCATCATTGGACTAGTGTTTGTTTCTTCGTTTCAACTACGGAAAAGTTTAAAAGGCACGTTTGCATGATGGGGCGCGCGGCCGAGTCATTTGGATCGCGTAGGGTTCGGTCTATCTACACTCGACCGGCTTTAATTTTATTTATCAGATCCAACCAACGGTAGATGTACCGTGGTTGGATGGTTCCATGGTGAATTTACGGTGAATTCACTAGGGAACGACAATTTATCATAGATTTATAATTAAGACTATAATAAATGCCTAAGATATTAAGATTCACGGTTAAAAATTAGCCCCCATTATATACTAGCTTTAAATAAAAGGATAATTAAATAATTATTATATTAATTATTAAAATTAATTATATATATAAGGATTTTAATATAAAATATATCTAAAATTTAATAATTAAAAATTTTATTATCTTTACTTATTAAGAATTATAATTAATAATTTTAATATTAAAAGTTTTATATATTTTTATTAAAGCTAGTTAATTAAAATAATTAAAAATATATATTTAAGTTATAAATTAATACTTATAATTTTAAATTATATATTTATTAAAAATAATTTTACTTTTAAAGCTTAAAATATTAAATATTTATTATAAGAAATATATAAAGAAATTATATATATAATAAAATGTTTAATTATAAATAATATAAGATAAAGAAAAAAATAAAGAAATTATTTAAAATAAGGAATAAAATATTTAAATAATAAGCAACTTAATTAATAATAAAGTTAAAATCTTTAATTAAAACCTTATATAATATAAATAACGTAAAATAGTTTATAAGAAAAAATAATAAGTAATAAAACAATTTACTAAATAATTTCTTTAAATAATAAATCTTATATATAAATTAATATATTATTAAATAAATAAGTTATTATAAAAGTAATATAATAATTTATAAAAGCGTTATAAGTAAAATTCTTATAATAAAATAATATATATTTATTAAAATTATAAGAAAGTTTTTTAAGTCATTATATATAATTAAAGAAATATATATAAATTAATTATTAAAAAGAAATAATAATTAAAAATATTAAAAGAAATTTCTTAAAAGCATTATATATTATAATTTAATTTTTAAACTTTATATAAGCTATTAAAGAAATTATATTAATTTAAGCTATATTTTATAATTAAATATAAAAATAAATAATAATAAATAAAAACCTTAAATATTATAATATAAGGTAAAACTTTTATTAAAAGTTAAAATATTGTTATAATTTATAAAAAGGTAAAGTTATAAAAAAAGCCTTTATAATTACTTATAATAATTAAAAAAAACTATAATAATAATAAAAATACTTAAGTTATTAAAGGTTTAAAATTAATATATAAAGATATAATTAAATTATAAGGATAAAATAAATATAAATAAGCTTTCTTAAGATAAATATTTTTAAAATAAAAAGGCTATTTTATATATACTTATTCTTATATCCTTGTTAAATGCTTTTATATTTTTTAATGAAAGCTTATAAAAGATAAATATTAAGTTAAGGAATTAAAGAAAAGGTATAAAAAGTATTAAAGGTTACGTAATTTACAGGGGTATAATATATATAAAATAAGGGTAATATAGTTTATTAATAAGTAGCATATATTAATAAGTAATGTACTTTTATAACTTTCATTAACTTTAATTAACCTTAATATTTACTTAATGTAAATAATTTAATTAAATTTAGCATTAATTAATATTAATTATAATTAAATTCTTATTTTTAATTAATTTACTTAATTTAAAGTAATATAAATAATTACAGCTTAAATAAAAGTAATTAAGTTTTAATAAGGGGATTATTTTTTAATAAGAATTACATTAATACTTTTTGCATTAATTTCCTATTTATTTATTTATTTAAATATTTAATATATTAAAAGTTATTAATTATAATATTAAAACCTTTTAAAAAAAATAAAATACTTTTAATTTATTTAAGTAATTAAAAACTTTTTAAAGAAATGCATTAAACCTTTTAAATTATATAAAGCTATATAAATCTTTAATATCCTTAAAATTATATTTTATTATAAAATAAATTAATAATAGTTTTATAAAAAATTATATATTAATATATATAAACTTAATTAAATTAAAAAATAAATATTAATTTAATATATTATTAATTAAAATATTTAAATATTTTCTTTATAACTTTTTAATATAAAAAATATAATTAATTTTTTATTAATATTATAAAATATTAAATTTATTAATAAGCATTAAGCTTAATACTTTATAAATTAATAATTTAATTTTAAGATTAAATTTAATTATTTTTATAATTATTAAAAGGCTTTTTATAAAAATTTAAAAATTATTAAAAATTAATTTAAATTATTTTATAATATAATAATTAAGTATTAAATTATTAATAATAATCTTTATAATTTTAATAAAATTAACTTTATAATAAATATAATTACTTTATTAATAATTATTATATATATTAATAAATATAAAAAGATTAAATTAATTTAACTTAATAATTAAAAATAAATAATTATTATTAAATATTTTAATATAAATAAATTATAAATTTTATTATTTATAATTATTTAAAATATTTATTATTTTATTAATTAAGTAATAAAGTTAAGTTTTTTAAATAATTAAATTATTAAGCTTATTTTTAATAAATAAATAAATAATAAAATTAATTTAAAATAAATTTAATACTTTAATAAATATATTAAGTTAAAAAAAATATTAATTATTAAATATTAATTATAAATAATTATAAAAGCTATATATTAATTAAATTTAATTAATATTATAAAAATAATAAAATTATTATTATTAATATATTATTATATTTATTTTATTTATTTTAATTATTAAATATTATATTATATTTATTTTTAAAATATATATATAATAATAAAATTAATTTTTTTATTTAAGCCTTTATTAATTATATTATTAAATTTAATTTTTTTTTATATTTAAAATAGCTTATAATAAAACTTTTATAATAAAGAATATTAAATTTATATTTAAAAAAGCTAAAATATTTTCTTAAAATTTTAATTTTATATTTTTTAAATTTAATATTTATTTATAAACTTTAATATAATTTCTTTTTACTTTTTTTTAAAAATAAAAATTTTAATATTATTAAATATTTAATAAATTATTTAATAATTAAATTTTATTAAAAATAAAATTTTTATTTATTAAAAAAGTTTTTTTTATATTAATTATAAAGGTTATTAATTAATTAATAAAAAAATATATAAATAATAATATATTTAATTATTATAATAAATAAAGAAATTTATAGATTTTAAAATATTAATATAATATTTATTAATATTAAAAGAGTTAAAAAAACTTAAATATAACTTAAAAAAGTATTTATAATTAAGGAATTTTAAGTTTTTATTTAAAAAAAAAATAAAGGTAAAGTAATTAATAATAAAATAAATAATAAAATAAAAAAGTTAATTTATAATGAATAATTAAAAAAATATTATAATAATTATAATAAAAAAATTAAGTATAATATAAAAACTTATAAAAGAAATAAAAAAGAGTTTAATTAATTAAATTTTAATTATATTATAATAAATTTAATTTAATTAATATTAATTAATATAAATATAATTATTTTATTAATTTATAATAAATTATATTTTTAAAAATATAATTAATATTAAATATTATTAAATATATATTTTTTATTAAAAGTTAATTAATTTAAATTAATATTATAATTATATTAATATTTTTAAATTAATAAAATTAATTAAAAATAAGAATTTTATTATAATTAATATTAATTAATATTAAATTTAATTAAATTATTTATATTAAATAAGTATTAAGGTTAATTAAAGTTAATAAAAGTTATAAAAATATGCTACTTATTAATATATATTACTTATTAATAAACTATATTATAAAGAAGTATAAAAAAGTTATTATTATATTTTTATTAACTTAATTGCTTAATTTAAAAAGTTAATTATTTTAAAGTAAAAGCCTTTTTTTTATAATTTTATTAAGGTTAAATAAAATATTTTAATATTTTTAAATTATTAATTAATTAATATATATTAATAATTAATTTACTAATAATTAATTAATAATTATATAATATAAAATTTAATTAAACGGCTTTAAATATATAAATTATAAATTAAAAAAATAATTAAAAATATATAATTTTCTTAATTATTATATAAAAGGTTTTAAAAACTTGCTTATATAAGTTAATTATATAATTATATATTATAAGCTAATAATATAATATAAAGTTATATTATTATAAATATATAAGCTTTAGCTTTATAACCCTTATAATTATAAAGTTATTAAGAAAATAAGTTTTTTATTTCCTTTTTATTTTAAGCCTTTTTATTTTATTTTATTTTACAATATTTATTTATATAAAGTATTTATATATTATTATAAAGCTTATTCTTAATAATATTATATAATATATATTTTTCTTACGTAATTAATTTTATAAAATTAAAGCTAAGATTATTAAATATAATAATAAAGTTTTTAATTATAAATATATTATTAAAAACTTCCTTAAATTTAAGTATATTAAATTAAAACTTTTAATATTAAATACTTTAATATAAAATAATAACGTTAAGTATTTAAGG